TTTCCTACATTTTCCTCCCACGTGGCCCCAGGCACACAACCTGCCCAGTAGCTGCCCCTGGATCCCAGTCTTCCCAGTTGCTGGCACCTGGACATGACACAGCATCAGTGCAGTTGTGGCACAGATCCCCAGGAGGTGGCCTCAGACATCCCCAAAAAGCAGGGACATCAGTGCCAAAAGTGCTCAGGAGAGCTGCTCCTGCTCCCTCATCCTGATGGTCCATGGGGCTGGGGGTCTCCTGAGACAGCCCTGGAGTAGCCCAGCCATGGTGTCCCCTCCTCTGAGCCTGTAATTCGGGTTCCCATGTGCCGTTGTGCCTCCGATGGCTCCTGTGATGGGCCTGGGAGCAGCCAGGACAGAACATTATTTGGGCTCACCCACCCCTATTGCTTCTCTGTGGACGTGCAACGTGATGTTTATCCCATAACCTAACAGTGGTAACCAGGGAAAATACTGGGCAGATCTCAGATCAGTCCAGGGACTGCAAAGAAAAAGGGAGGACTTCACAAAGAAAACTAAAAAAACCAATGTACTACCTGCATGCTATAGATTTTGTGACATCTTTTTCTTCTTAAATCACCATTTTCTCACCCAGGTTGTATGACTTTGTGCTTTCTTAGTACATGGCATCTCATAAAGCTTTTTCTTGGCTGCATCTTCAGCATAGAGCTCTGCTGCAGTGAGAAACCAGCCCGGGAGAACACGTTACTCACAGACCTGAGCAGGGAGGACAGTTTGTTGTATTTTTTCCCTGACAACATTTATCCCCTATTTCAAGAGTCTGAAGGGGAGAGTGATATTCATCAAAATTACCTTTTTCTTCTGCGATAGTTCTTTTTCTTTCAGGCTGGTCATAGCAGCATACCTGCCCTGGACAGTGAAAGAGCTGTGCATGGGGAGGGATCCCCTCCCAGATACCCCAAAACACCCAGCATGTCTGGAGGTGGACTAGCAATGCCAGGGTCACCATGGGACCATGCCAGCCTGGCACTACTTTTGGCAGCCTGTGTTAGTGCTCTAGCCCTTGTCCCTGCTCTCTTTGTAGCTTGCAAACAGGCCTCAGCTGGCCCCAGTAAGGATGCTCCTTTCACCATAATGAGCTGAACCTGCCTCCAACCTCTGCAGATCTCTTCCTATGACTTTCTCTTGCCTTCTGGTTTTTAAACCATCCCCAGTTTGTGTTCAGTGACAGCTTCCCCACAGGTTCAACTCCTAACACTATTCCCCAACCCAAGCTAAACCCCTCTGCTTTGCAGAGTTGCTGCCAAGACCAAGCAAATGCTTTTTGTTGATATGGTGTGGTTTGCTCCAGTGTGCTAACGTATGGAGAATACTCTTTGGGAAGCCAGCTCATTTACATCACATCCCTGCAATAAATAATAGTTTCAGCCCCTAGGAGAGCAACAGTGCCCTGATGAAGCAGCCTGCTCACGGGTGCTCACGTACGCCATCTCTCAGCAGCAACCTTGTGGCCGACTTGGCTCTGACTCCAGAGAGAAATGGGTTTGCATGTCTCTGGTTTCCTGTGGGCGCCACAACATTAATTCCTTCGATTTATTGGATCTAGAGCCATCTCCAAGACACATGCTCTCATTTACTGCATGCAAGTTGTCCAAGAGAGGAAAACCAGAGGAAATGAGCACCCAGGGAGCAGGCAGTGGGATGGCAACAGCTTTGTCACGTGTCCACCTGGCGAGTGTACTATGCTCTGGACCATCTTCAAGATGCTCCGAGTGCAGCCTGGGGGTAACTACCCCTTCCCATGTGATCCCCCAGTTCCTGAAAGCAGGATCATATTCCCATATTTGCACGTGGAAAGCCCTGATCAGCAGTTCAGGACTCAAGGCTGCTCTGTAGTGTTTTTGTTGAAATACTACCTGTTCCCAGGACTTTCGGGGTTTCATTTCTTTTTCTCATTGCCAAGGCCATCTTGTCTTCGTGGCTGTCTTTGGGATTCAAGGGAACGATCCTGCACATAGTAAAGATCCTGCATATAGTAAAAAAGAAAATCAGCTGCAAAAATATGGTAGTTGTAACACACAATGTAGGCTTTGGGGCAGGTGGTAGTCTCATGATGCAAGATGGGGACACAAGCTTGAACTGGTCTCACCTTCCCCTGACTTCTCCCTTCCCTACTCTGCAATTTGCTGCCCTTGGCTGTGCTGATGTGGGGGGCTGTTCCCTTTCCAGCTGCAAGCAGCAAAGCACATCTGCTTCTGCTAATCCCAAATAAACCAACTGTAGGCAGAGAGTCCTCGGTGCTGAGATTGCCTACAAAGTGGGTCAGCTCAAAACAAGGGGAAAAGTTTGATTCTGATGCCAGAGAGGAGACAGAAATCCCCACTGTGAGGAAAGGAAAGCTAAGCAGCGTGTGCGAGACAGGCAGTAAGAGAAGTAGGGAGGAAATATCCCTGAGGGAAAGCTTCCACACTGGGGAGAGACAGAAACACACACATTGGACTTGCAAGGAAGGAGAAACCGCTCGAGTGGTAGCCAAGGAACAACCAGACAGTGACAAACACATCTTGAAAGGGAAAAAAAGCAGGGTTTTAGTGCAACACCCCGGAGATGAATTGAAGGTCACAGTGTGAAGTCTTGGGAGGCAGGCAGGGGAAAAGCACCCAGCCAGCACTACTGGTGCTGGGGATCTCTCCAGCAGAAGGGGAAATGGCATCTAAAAGCCAGGAGCAGGCAAAAGCCTCCTGGTAGGTGCAGTGGGAGGGACAACTCGAGCGGGCAGCTGGTGCTCTCCATCGCTGGTGGGGTGGAGGACAGGGGAAGGGCTCAGGCAGGCAGGGCAGCCCTGCTGCATTTCCCAGGCTGCTCTCTGTGATGCAGGCAGCAATGTTGGGGCGAGGAAAGAGGCCCCACCTCCGGAGGCTCAGCAGTTGCTCTGCTGGACACAAAAGGATGAGCCAGACACCAGCACACTTGCACAGGATGCTCTGCGCCAGCCCCCCTCATCTCCTATGCAGGAGCCCGGGGGGCTGCTCCTGCCGGGGCCGGCTGCCCACCCATGCTCACCCATGCAGGTAAGGCTCTGCCAGTTGGAGCTGGGAGGTGGGAGAAAGCAGGCAGGCAGGCCTGAGGGTGATGGGAAGCAACACCGGTGGGGGACCCCAGAGAGGGCACAGGCAAGAGGCTGCTGGGGTCTGTCCCCTTCTGCAATGAAACCTCCAAACACCCCTGGCATCACCTGGCAGACCAAGGGTGGATTATTGTCTTTGGAAAGCTGCTTCGGGGAAACAGGTTCGCCCTTGCGGTGAGTGTGAGCGGCTTTCCTGCAGGTGCTCTCCCACCTCTCTGCAGCAGTGGGCTGCAGCAGGCTGGACAGCCTGTACATAACTGTCTATAGCTTTCCCCTTGGGGAGCAAGGAAATAGATAAAAGCAGTGTTAGCATTTCCCAACGCTTGCAAGTGCTGTCTCTGTCAGCAGCAGGCTTGCTCAGGCTCAGCCAGCTGGCTTCAAACTATCCAGCAGCCTCTGAACAAGGGTGCTGGGGGATACTAGTAAATCAGCATCCAAAGAGGAATTCACTGCACCCCTCGTCAGTGAGAAGAATGGGGCTTCTCCCTTTATCTGCTGGGGTTTGCGAACAGTTTTGCCTTCCTGAAAGGCGATTGCTCAGACGCCCTCCTCCCCAGCCTTGCTGCAGCATGGGGAGCAGATACACATTGCTCTTCAGACCCCTCATGCAGCATGAGCTCCTTGGGCTATTTTGCACGAGTGTGTGAGAGCAGGGCAGAGCCCATTGACTCGCTTGCAAAACTGTAAAGAGCACTGGTGAAAATAAAACTGTCATGGGCCTAACCTCCCCTCCTCGGTGCTGCAACGGCCCATAAACAGCAAACCCACTGGTTGCTGGCTGCATCTGGCTCATGGTCAAGGTCTGATTTTAATTATCTTTAAATGTTCTGCATAAAAAAGGAGAGTAGAAATGTGGTTGCACTGCTCCTCCTGTGCCTAGGGGCAGGAGGCAGCTTGGCTCGCCCACATCTGCTGTTGGCAGCACACAGGGCATCCACTCTGCTGAGCCAGCCCAGAGGGCCTGTCAGGCAACTTTCCCACCTTCACCGTCACAGCTCCAAGATGTCCTTGGTTTATCATGCTCTTGCTATTTTTATTTCTCTGGAAATGCTCTGTGCGGCCAGGTGACCTTTATTAAGAACATATTTTTTATACTGCATGATTCTGCATTAACATAGAGCTCTCTTCTCTGCTGGGCACTCCAGGAATGGGAGCAGCAGCTACTGTTTGCTTGGTATTGTAACACGTGAGCTCCTTAGCCGTCAAGAGAAACAGCCACCGGATCTGAAACCTGGCAGAGCATCAGGGCCTCTGTAATTATTAACATCTGCATTTTGCTTCCTGGTGGTTCTGTATTTAAAAAAGCAAAAAAGTAAGTTAAGTGCAGAAAATAAAAATCCATGCTTTCAAATAAGCATTGCAGCCATGAGAAGAAGGAAAAAGCAGATGAGATCTAAGCATAAATCAATGTGACCAAAGACAAAACCAGCTATACATTAAGAAACAGCTGCCTGGTTGCTTTCTGCTCCTCACGCCTGTCCCCTCCTGCTCCAAAATCCAGGTCCCCTACAGCAACAGCACCGGGGGTGGAGGAGCCTTAGAGATGTCCATGCCTGACGCAGGTGAGGAGCATGGCAAGCCCGAAGTGCCCCGAATGCCTGGGCCAGGAGTACCCCTGTGGCAGCCTGAAGGAGAGGAAGGGGGTCCGATGTGCACCGCCTGGAGAGGAGGGTGATGGCAATGCTGATGAGGAGGAAACCAAGGAGAGCAACCACAGCAGTCCACGGAATGGCCCAAGGGAGGATGTGCCTGGGGACCTGCTGTGCCAGGAAGGTGAGGTCTTCTACAAAACTTTCACCCTCATCAACACTAACTTCCTGCGGCCAGGAAGCTGAAGCTGCTGGTGAGCCTTCGTGCCCTGGGTGGCGAGCCCAGACACGGGGAACCCCTGTGCCAGCAGCACCCATCCCGGATGGACGGCGGGGCCACCGGGCCCTGTGGCACTGAGGACACCGCAGTGACCCTGGAGAGCAACTCTGGGGAGGAGTCCAGAGATGGCCGCTCCAGCTATGTCACTGAGCGAGCGTCGGCTCTTGCCAGCGCAGAGACCGTCAGGCCAGGGGGTCCACAGAGGTCCACCTTGGAGGAGCATCCCTACCAGTGCCAGCAGTACAGGTAGTCCTTCAAGAAGTCCAGCAACCTGCTGAGCCACTGGGAAACGCACAGCAGGGCCAAGCCCTACATCTGCGAGCTCTGCAGCAAAGCCTATTCACACCAGGGCACACTGCAGCAGCACCACCTGCACACGGGCAAGTGGCCCTATGAGTGCCCCTTCTGTGCCAAAACCTACACCTGGTCCTCAAACTACCGCAAGCACATCCACACCCACATGGGCGAGAGCCCCTACGGCTGCGCTGACTGTGGGAAGGCCTTTGCCCCCTCCTCCGAACTCCGCAAGCACCAGCGCAACATGCACCGCAACAACAAGCCTTTCCCCTGCCCCGACTGTGGGCACACCTTCAACAAGCCCCTCTCCCTGCTCCGCCATCAGTGGGCACACTTAGGGGCCACGCCGTTCCCCTGCCCCAACTGTGGGAAGGCCTTTGCCGTGGCCAGCCGGATGGTGGAGCACCAGCGGGACGGGCAAGTGGCCCTAGGAGTGCCCCTTCTGTGCCAAAACCTACACCTGGTCCTCAAACTACCGCAAGCACATCCACACCCACATGGGCGAGAGCCCCTACGGCTGCGCTGACTGTGGGAAGGCCTTTGCCCCCTCTTCGAACTCCCGCAAGCACCAGCGCAACATGCACCGCAACAACAAGCCTTTCCCCTGCCCCGACTGTGGGCACACCTTCAACAAGCCCCTCTCCCTGCTCCGCCATCAGTGGGCACACTTAGGGGCCACGCCGTTCCCCTGCCCCAACTGTGGGAAGGCCTTTGCCGTGGCCAGCCGGATGGTGGAGCACCAGCGGGTCCACACCGGCGAGCGGCCCTTCGCCTGCGCCGTATGCGGCAAGGCCTTCACCAAGTCATCCAACCTCTTCAAGTACCAGACGCTGCACGCGGGTGAGTGGCCCTACGAGTGCCCCGACTGCAGCATGGCCTTTGTCCAGTCCTCCTGCCTCACCCGCCACCGTCGCACCCACACTGGCGAGCCACCCTTCACCTGCCCCCACTGCACCCATGCCTTCACCCGCCCCCACTGCACCCACGCCTTCACCCGTGCGGCCACCCTCAAGTGGCACCAGCAGCTCCACGGCAGCTCCCTGCACCGGTGCGGCACCCTGCCGACCCCAACAGCCCCTCTGCATGGACTGCAATACCTCCCAGCATGGTGCGGAGGAGCCCTGGCCTCCCCAGCATGGCTGGGGAAAAACCACATCTGGGGTTGTGAGTGCCCCTGCACCCCATGGAGCCCCTGGCACATGGCCGTCGGCGAAAGAGGAGGCAGTCGGTGAAAAGCTGGTTGCCCAAGCACAGGGGAAAGAGGCAGAGCTCAGTCACTCATGCATTACTTATTTCTGAGCACTCTCCCTCCAGGAAAACAGGATCCCAGCTTGGCTGGCACGGGATCCATCTTCCTTGCCCTGGCCGTGCAAAGGCGCCTCACGCATTTCATGGGATGGTGAAAACCCCGACACCTTTGTGAGTGAAGCAAATACATACCAGGTTTAAATTCCACACGGAAATGGGCAAGGAAAACCAAACCAAAGACCGAACCCTCTTGTGCTGTCAATGAGATGAACGCTGCAAAACACAACCCTGTCCTTTCATGCAGAGCACGCTGGATATGGTAATTACAGGCAAAATATTTGCACCCCTCACTCTCCTCCCGGGAGAGCCCCTTTCCGAAGCAGAAGTACACTGAGTGTTTCTACAGCAATAAGCTGCTTTCTGAGACCAAGAACAGGGACTAGACAGTTGGTAAAATGGCTTTTCTTAGGTACCTGATAGCTGAGGCAATTAAAACAAAATTAAACTGACATTTCTAACTTGTACTGTAAGAGAGAGATGCAGTGGTGAAATAATTAAAAGTTACTGCTGGGAACATCCTGTTCTCACCCGTCTATTGTGAAGAACAAAAGGGCAAGAAGCATTTTTGGCTTTTTTTTTCCCTCTCTCTTTTTTGATAATTAATTGCTAGTTATTGCTGCATCCCCAAATGCTAGAACCCAAGGGTTTTCCAAATGACGACAGAGATATTTAGTGGTTAGTACCTCATTTATCCAGTCTCACTTGGTGATAAACAACATTTTGCCAGCCAGATCCCCCTGCTCAAGTTATTCACGTGAAGGGCTCAGAGCTTCATTTTCTGGTTTACAGCACTTGCCTGAAAGGTCTTTCCAAGCAACTGCCTGGGAGCAGCTCCATGATGGGACTGCAGTCCCATCCCTTGCTGTCTCTTACCGTCCAGCATCATTTGCTTCCCCACCAGTTACACCGCTGCATCTGAGCCTCTCAGGCAGGGGAAGTAGTCCTCTGGATGGGAACCCACCTTGGAGCATCCTCATGTAGATAGAGCTTATGCTGCCTGCTCCTACCCAGAACTCAGCTGATCACCTCTGGAAAGGGACTTCCCAGCTGTTTTTCACAACTCCATGAACTGCTGCAGAGGTATCTGCAGCTACCTTGGCAACACAGTGCTCGGGAAGGAAGAGTCACCCCCAGCCTGAGCGCCCCATGGGACCAGAGGTGGGCCTGAAAGATGGGGAATGGCCAGGAGACACAACAGATGTGCCTCACTGACCTCTTCATTGCAGCAAGGGCCCTGTCATGTGTGAGAAAACAGAAAGCCCCTTCCACTTTTCTCATTAGCTAAAAGAAAAGAGTGATATTTATTAAGTGCCTGCTTACCGGATGTCAGCCTGGTCAGAATCTGAGTCCCAGGATGCTCTTCACATGAACCTCATGCTTCTTGACACAACCCTAAGTCATCCTTACCCTCATCATTACCTCCAGCAGCTGTGTGCTTGGCTTATGCTTCAGCCCATCACCCAAGGGCACCCCTGCCTCTGGCCCTTCCTTCCAACCTTCCTGCCATGCCAGCCCAACAGCAGGTTCATTTGCAGGAGACAACAACAGTATAGGAAAGTTTCTGATGCTTCCCCGAGTCAGAGTATCCCTGGATTTTAGTCTCTCTCATGCAGAGCGAGGCTGAGTATACCCTGGGCTGGTGTTTAGCACTGACCTTCTGGAAGGGAGAACAGGGCTCTGTGTGGTTTTAGGACGAGCATCCCCTTCACCCACAACATGAGCAGGTAAGGGATGAAGCCCAGAACTGTAGCGGGTGTGTGCTGCTCCAGAGTCCGTATCGCTCTGCTTCAGCGTGTCTAACCTCCTGCATGCAAGCTCTTCCAGGAAGGGTTTGGGGACCAGTCTGGAAGAGTAAGGAAGGTGCATGTTAGGCTGACTCCATCGTTTCCACTGCCAGGGGGGTGGTCATGGTTTTTATAGGTCTGTACACAGTCAGCCAGCAAAATCTTTACAAGACAGAAAAGTCACTTAAAACTATTTCTCAAGGGTGTTTCCTGATGAGAGAAGCAGAAAAAACAATTACAGCAAACTGTGAAATAAAAAGAAAGTCAGGTCAAAAGACAGGTGAGTGCACAATGCAGTCAGCAAGGCTCTGCACTGGAAATTGCCAAAAGGCCCCCCAAAATGAGAGTATTCATACTCTCATACTTTTGAGAGTATGAATAAAACAGATCAAGCTAGGCCTTTCCTCACTCAGAGTTGGCCGTCTTCTGTCTCAATGGCAGCAAGAAATCACATCAATTTGAGGGAGTACATCCAAAAAGAGAGCTGTCCTTGTTTCCAGTTTGGAGAGGAGCAGAGGTCTTTCACCTAGCTGCCTTAGCGGGTCAGACCTTTACAACAACATTACTGCCAGCATTACACCCCTGCACTTTGGGAGGATGTCCCACATTGCTTGGAAATTGCTTCTGGATTTCTTATTCTGCCCTTCATGGTGGTAAAAACCTGCTGTAGAGCTGAGCCCTGGTCCCAGACCACCTGGCTGTGCAGTGCTATTGAAAGGTATGTAAATATATCTGTAAATGATGATATATAAATGTGCTTATAATAAATGTGCTTGTATTGTAACAGTATTGTAGCTGCCAAGGACTGTCCAGGCGGGGGGAGCCTAGCTTTATTTTTTTACTCTTGCAGTGATTACTGTCTGATCATCACAAACTGGATGCTGTGTCATAGTATGTGAACAGAGAAGGAAATAATGTACTTAAAATGAGGGATATTCTTTATGTTTACATGAACTCCCCAGTCCTGGAGCTATTTTAAAGCCGCTGTTGCATCTCAAGTGAATACACTGGAAATAAATACTCAATATCTACTCATGCATGCCATGAACAGTCTAAAAGAAAATCTCTTGTGCTTTTAGCTCACATGTGCTGCTGTGGTCTTGAGCAAATGTAGGTATTTGTACAGATGCATAGCATATTTCAGTGTCTATTACTGTATGCAAAGACTCTGCACCTGCACATGTCTAGAAGTAAACCAGGACATGAGGTCTTGCAGCTACTCACAGATGTCTTCCTGTACCTCAACCCAAGCCTGCAGGTATCCCTAGGTTTGGTACATGAGAATCAAAGGCTGGGGGGAGGCTTTGCAGTGAGTGTGCAGGCAGCCTTGTCTCAGCAGGGTTCCACCTGTGGGACCACAGTCACAAACACAGACCTCAGCCTTCTCCACGTACTGCACTTCTGTCATGCTCGCACGCCTCTGTGCTGTAACCAGGAGCTGATGTGCAGGTGAAGACAGGACCAACTAACCATCTGTACTCAGGAAATGCAGCCCCTGACCTCCCAGCTCTCTGAGAAGGAAGCATCTCCCAAAGCACACTGCACCAGGTGAAAAACATCCCCAGTCTGCTGGATTTGGCACCAGCAGCCGAGGCAGTGTGGTGCAAGTACCCACATTTTCCCACAGTGCTCCAACACAGTCAAGCTTTTTGGCAAGGTCAGCTTTTATCCAGTAGATGTAACACTGCGCCAGCAGAAATACTTCCGTGGGGCTGCACTGAACCACGTTACAGAGTACAGACTCTTCTCAATGCAAAAGTCAATGCCTTCTTTTTTTCAGGCTCCTGGGGCAAACCATTTTGCACAGTCAGCAGACAGACTTCTACAAGCCAGTTTATCTTCTTTTTAAACAAGTAAGGTATAAACATGAAATCTAGCTAACAACTGGTCCAAGAGCTTCTTAAATGCAAGTACTAAGACATACATACTAGCAATCTTCCTAAGAGGTCCCACAAGGAAGGTCAGTTAGATCACACTTTAATCTTGGGGTCTGGGAGACTGAATGCTGTATCATACCTTCTCCCAGTTCCCTTTCCCAAACAATGAAAACAAGTCATCCATCACTCACACCACTTACCAAGCAAAAGTCTTCAGACCAAAGCCTTTAGTTTTATAACAACTGCTGACACCTCAGGTTTTAGTAACTCCTCTTTCTAAATTGCTGTCAGTCCACCAGGCAATCCAAAAGAACCCACCGAAGTCACTAAACCATCCCTGCTGACACCACCAGCAGTGTTTTCAGGAGCAGCAACAATGGTCAAGGTATCAAGGAAGAAGACAATTAGCACACCCTCTTTCAAGCAGGAAAACAGAGGCTGGGCAAGCAGGCCAGCAAAACATGCTGACTCTTTTGGGGTAAAACTTACCACACTCAACAAAGAACATCCCCTTCTGTCGAGGAATATGTTTCTTTTTAAAACATGCCAGGTAGTTATCGGGAATAGCTGTTAAATGGCAAGTCGGCAGCTAGGCTACCTTCCTGTTACCTGTGCGTGGCTCTGAGCCCAGGGACCTATTCCTTCAGAGTCCCTTGCAGCCAACAAGATGTGTGCTGGTAGCTTGTACAGAAACAGACCTGCTCAGAACTCCTGCTTTCAGATTTGAAGCATGTAAGCAACAATTAAGATAAAACCCTTAATGAGAAAAGAAGTGGATAGCTCTGATGTTTTCTTCTAGCACATAAAACAAGGGGAAAGCCATTACATGAACTGCATGAGCACATTCATTTGACCACACCCTCCTCTGGAAAACAACATTCCCACATAGTAGGGGGCAGTTCAGCAGCACAGCCATCCTACAGTGAGTTTACAGGTGGGCTGCACTCTGTTGCAGAGACCGGTATTACCTGCTTCATGGGCTAGCTCCCATTCAGTGGTTGCTCTTTTAAGATGACTCTAACCTTGCACAGGCCTACAATTTTTTAACTTCTCAAAGCATCAGACACAGCTGGGAACACCAAAATAAAAACAGTGTTTTCCTTTCTACTTTCTACTTCCAGTATGTTATCCTAGTGAAATGCTATTCATCTGCCGTTCTGTTGGCGAGATCTCAGCCCCTGCTCGTTTTCAGTCTGTAAGTAGGAAAACCGTAGTGGGGGCTCCTTATGCCAACAGAAACTTTACAAGATCAGAGGCAGATCATCACACGATGAAGCCTCACTTTAAATAAAAGCTGCCTACTCCAGAGATTTCAATGCCCTTTGCTCAGTTTAACTGACAAATGATGGATTGCTTAGTGCTCCCTGTTTACATCAAAGACTCCTGCTTCAGACTCCTTCATGCTGGGAGAAGGCAAATAGTGTAAGAGGAGGATGATGGTATGCAGAGGAGCAGAAAGACTGTACAGTAGTAGCTTTTCTTTTGTGCAAGGTGCTGTATCTACACTCCACAAGCACGGGTGTATTTACCATGCAACACCTTTGTTAACAAAGTGAGAAAATAGTACCGTAGCTGCCAAGGACTGGTTAGCAATTCCAGGTCAGTGAGTGCCAGGACTCTGCAGTGCTGGAGCTATTCTAACTTCTTAGTCTTGAGACAACTTTCCTGTGATGGAAGTGAGTTGGGCAGAAGCGATATAGTGAGGGGACAGGAAAATTAGCAAAGGGTATTTCTATGTTCCACTGTTAACAAACACAGTCCAGCAATCAAAAGTACCTGCACCATCAGGATCCCCTGCCTAGCTCAGAGCTCCAGCCCTGTGCCTGTGTCTGAATGCTTCCTGAAATGCCCCGGCAATGAGACCCTGTGAGCGAGTCCTCTGCACAGCACAGCATCAGAGGGAACGGCTTCTTCCATGGCCTTTACAGACAAAAATGAGCTACAGATATACTGGCTACTCTGAACAAAGAAAAATGACTTCTGCTGAAACGACACACTTCAAAACCTCTCTAATGAAGCAATGCTGTAGAGCAGGTATATTTGCTCACTCTCTCTCTTCCTGTTTCAGCTAGATATCATGACTGGCTATGTCTGTTGTAGGCTATCAGCAACTCAGAGTGACACTGTGAGAGTGTCAGGGCCTGGGAGAGATTTCCAAACCTTTATATTAAAAATGTAAAGTGCAGAAGTGACGATCTCTGGGTTAAATTAAGCTCCAAGGGATTTCCTGTAGCTTGCGCAGGAGTTAGAGGAAGTTTCTTTGAAGAGGGTTCAACACACTTTCCCAGAAACCATCACACATTTTAATTACTCCTTTCACACATCCAAGCACTTTATATGCAAGTCAACCTTCCAGGCAAGTATCTTTTTAATAACCTTTTAGTTAAGCCTAGTAGTTTTCATTTCACCAACCATTTACTCTTCCCATTAAACAGGCCTTGTTCAGAACACTTTCACCATTATGCTCTTACAGGTACAAATTCCACCAACTTCTAACACCAAAAAGCAGAGTAAATAGATGTTCCCAATTACTGCAACTGTCTAAGCAGAACAGTCACACAACATAAAGGTGCGCATAGTGGTGCAGTTTAATTGGATATTAAAACCCTCTACAGCAAGAGCACCGCGTACCCAAGAGAGAAGCAGGATGCTGAAAAGGGAAGACTGTAGCCGAGAACTTCAAAATGGGTTTAGAAGATGAGGGTGGAAACTTAATGCACAATAGTTTCTGGAATGGCTTCCTCACCTTGCTATCCGCCCTCTCTCCAGGTCATTTCAGATTGTGTTGAACAGCATGGTCCCCACAGAACAGCACTGATGACCTCTCTCTGCAGATCATTTACCCAGTCTCCTTTCAGCCAGGATTTTTTACATGCAAAGATCTTTCCTCTTAGAGAGACTAAGCAGCCCTCAGATAAGACCATCCCTTTGCTAAGAGGCCCCATCAAAAACCCTTCGGAAACCTAAAACCATACTGGAACTACCTGCAGAGGGGAGTTTGGAGAAGTCTCACTCACAGCTGCAGCGAATGCATATGGTACACAGGGTCCAGTCATCCCGGCTGAGGCATCTGCGTTACAAAAGTACATCATTTCAGAGACAACATAACACATCCCTAAGAAATGGGATGCAGATCAGTTCCCTAATCTGGAGACTTCTTTGAGGAATGAAATTAAAATGTCCCATTAGTGAGGCCGGGAGAATTAGTCTCCCACTCATAATCAAGCTAAAGTATTGCTGAGGACAGTGGTTCAGCTTGATCTGAGCTGAGGACCTCACATCAAACACAGTACCCACAACTGTAAAATGCCTGCTCAGCTGCTGCATGGGTGGAAGGTGCTGAGCAGCCATCACCATTTTTTGCTCTATGAAATATGCAAACAAATGACACAATCAGTACTTTACATTAAATAGCCTGGTAGTAAATGCAAAGGTACATTACCCCGAAGCTTTACTTTCACTCTGCTGCACAACTTCCTGATGAAAAGGCAGAATGCATTAGAAAGAAATTAGTGAAATTATGGCAGCTGGCAGGGGAAGGAAGCAAAGCTTTCTGACACGGAAAGGAAATTAGGGCTGCAACTTAAGGACAAACTGGATGCTTCCACCACAGTGGTTAACAGTAGATTAAGTGTCATTATTAAGTTTCAAAGTTACAAACCCCACTGCCATAACTGAGGCAATACATACCTCTTTGGAAGTTACAGCCTTGGGGTATTTGGCAGCACCTACCTGAGTGTGCAAGGCTAGTTTCTAAGGAAATTTTTCTTCACTAATCATTTGAAGCTAAATCAAAGTGAAGAGTCTAGCAGACACTTTGGGTAGTACTCAGACACGTCACAGAACACAAAACATGGTTTTGTTATGAGAAGTTTCCTTATGTGTGAAAACGTTTAAATGAAGAAGATTCCTATGCAACGAGTAGCAAAGGTGGCTTAAATTTAGTCTTCTGCTCTTTGAATTTTGTGTTCTCAAACATTTCCTACTATAAAACTCAGCTGGACAGATTTAGAGTGCACAGTTCCATCAGAGACACAAATGTATTCAAATCCCTCACCCCAAGAACATGCACTGTCATAGCGAAAATAAAGCTTTTTCCATTATTAACAGACATTCAACTAATCACACAGAAGTGCGTAAGGGATCGGTACTCCCTTGGATAGAAACATTTATGAAATACAGCTGGTAACTGTTGAGTTTATTAAGGAACTGTTTTGTGGTTTGGTTTTTTTTTTTTTAAATAACCAACATGATACTTCCCCTCCAAATAAAAAAAAGTAATGGAAAGAAAAACTCAGCAGAATACAAGGAGAGAAGAGATAGAGGGACAACTCTGTACTGTTCTGACTTAGCAAAGACCTGCAACAACAGATCACCAAACCCAGTGCCAAAGAGCCATCACACTCAAGAGGGCAGGGCCAATTTATCCAGTGACCAAGACTGCAGAGAGAAGTCTCATAGCCCATGCATCCTTGCAAAAAGCTCAAGCTGATGCATCGTCAGTTCAGCGAATTGAGACAGTGCTAGCACGTGTGAGTGATTTCAGTCTTCTCAAGTCTCACATTTCATTACTCACGGGTAATTAGGTTATTTTTTCATACAAAGCCAGTTTAAAGCCAGTGAGTGCAATCTCTACCAGTACAAGTTCCAGAGATCCCCATGAAGTAGTGTTCCCTATCAGCCACTGCTGGGAAGTGGGTCTGGACTGGCCAGAGCGCATGCAGTGGAGTGCTTTCTCCAGCCCAACTGAGCAGGCCTCGTTCAGGTAAGAAGCAACCAAGGAGACCACAATCACAAATGAACTAAGAATTAAGATTTGTCCAATTTGTGTGTGCGCTCATGCCTCCGTAGGGTACCTGACTCGGTGAAGGAATGGCCACAGTAATTGCAAGAGTAGGGCTTCTCTCCAGTATGGATGCGGTGATGGCGCTGGAGCGATGCCAGCCGGGTGAACGTCCCTCCGCACTCCTCACAATAGAAGGGGCGCTCTCCAGAGTGAGTCTGCTGGTGTCTTTTCAGCCTGAGCAGCTGGACGAACGCCATGCCACATTCCTGACACTTATAGGGCTTGTCTTGTCGGTGAATCACCTTGTGTTTGGAAAGCAGGTTAGGCTTATCGAAACCTTTGCCGCATGTTGGACAGGCATAAGGTTTATAGTCGTCTTCCTCAGACTTTTGGTTTTCTGCACAAGGCTGATCAGCATACTCAACAGTGTTTTGGTTACGATGCACTATCGACCACGGGTTCCTAGCCATGCCATTTCCCAAGATCACCATGGAGCGCTCTATCTTGTGCACATTGCGCAGGTGCCTCCAGACATCAGCTGTGCGAATGAAACCCTTGTCACACTCTGGACATTTGTGTGGCCTGTCACTAGAATGAATGAGCTTGTGCATTCGCAAATTTGCTGCACGGAAGAACTCTTTGGCACAGACGGGACATCGGTATGAGTTTTCCACAAGGTGAGTTCGCTTATGTTCCTGCAGCTCGCTCATACCCTGGAAAGAGGAACCACACTTCTTGCACCGATATGGCAAAGCTTCCTCAGAGACAGGCTCCAGGTCCTCATCAAACACATCAGCAAGAACGGTATTTTCATTATCGTCACATAGTCTTCTCCGTGGTTTCTTGGACCGCTCAGAGGAACAGTGCTCTAAATATTTATCTTCACACTGCAGGTCAAAGTTGGTACTGGAGGGGACAAATACCCCAGGTGTACTCTCACCTTGTTTCTGGTAGTAGGTCTCATAGGTTTCTTTGTCTTCACACTGCAACTCTGCAGGAAGCTCCTGCTTACCTGAAGGTCCAGCAGAGTTGCAACGAGGACTGAACGTCTGCGAATAACTCATGTCTACCTCCTTCTGGAGGCTAGATGTGTGGCCCACCTGCTTAGTGTTCTTTCTGGAATAATTTGAATGCTTCTCATCTGTGTCAAAAATGTTATTCTCAGAGTCCCAGTCCACGCTGACATTCATCCTCTGAGGCGTACGCTGTGTTCATCTGCAGCTCATCGATGATGTGTATACCAAGAGCTTCTGGTCTTTCACGGTAAGTCCATCTCATTCTCAGCTCTCTTTACAGTCCTCCCTAGAAAATAAAACACGCATTTCATCAGTGATTTTTCTGATATTAACATAAGATAAAGTTATCACAGTGAAGATTTTTTTCTGATCAAAAGAATGGGACAGACTATTAGTTATGCAGTAGAAGAAACAGCATCATCTACTATTATGTATGTAGAAAATATACATTCAGCGTACAAAATACAGACAGACTACGTTTAATGACGATAAATCCTCTATCATAATCCAGCCTTCACTACAAATAGAAATTTATAATTTCCATTTTAAATTCACCTAAAGATGAGAAATTTTCAGAACTCTAGGGTGCAAACACTTTCGGCAAGTCCTACACCATAGCTGCCCCCACCACAGATCTTTTTCCGAGGATTCATGCTTAATCCTTGTTTTTACCTTGCTAAATACGAACTAGGAGCACCAGTCACAAGGTGGTTTTTTTCAGGAACCAGTTAGGTAACGCAATGAGACCCAGAAACTGTGTCAGCCAAACAGCCAAAACCAGAAGCAATGTATGGAAGGGGGGTCTGGAGAGCTCGGGAGCACCTTTAGCCTCCCATCCTGACCAGCATTATTGTAACTGTCTTGAGGATATTTGGGGTCCCTGTGCCACTGCCAGCTAGCACCATGCAAAGAAGACATATGCAAAGAAAGGCATGAAAGAGCTGTCCAGAAACTGGACTACTAATCGTCCTCCCAGGCTTCAAAGCACAGCTAGTAATGAACAGCTTCAAATTCTCTGGGTAAACTCCCTTTGCAGACCAGCCTTGCTAGCAGAAAATATGAGCAATGGTAATTGGTCAGAAATACCTGTCTGAGTCACAAACTTTCTTGTGAAGAAGACGCTTTCGTTTATGCCGTATCAAAGTGTGGATTCGCAAGAGGTTTTCTGGATTTGTCCAGGCAGCCTGTTGACGGCAGCTCCACAGGGAGCTTTCACTCATCTGGTTTAAACCTGCATTCAGGTTTAGACGCACTAGTCTAACCTCAGAAAGTGCATTCTTCCCATCCTGATGGACACCTTGGCTGGTCCTCCAACCCCCACCTTCTCCTTCACACCCACTTTTTCCATATTGTCTTTGCTCCCACTGTTTCTTCACTTCCTTTTGACTGTTTTTGTCTAGGTGAGACTCCTCTGAATATGAGCACATATATCTATACAAACATATATGTAAAAATGGACATATTTCTGTATTTACATGTGTACATAAAGATTGCCTATTTAGTTTCAGTAGGTTTAAATAGTTCTAAGGGCACTACAGCAATGTGCATTAAGTGAAAGGTCTTATTCACATCTCAGAAAGGCCAGCTTCATTTGAGACACAAGCTGCGCTTTCTTCTGCTGTGATACAGAGAACAAGCTGAATTAGTCTTCTTCATTAGTCACTGCCTGGAACAGAATGGCTCAAGTCACCCCCCAACTTCGACCGTTCCCATTAATTTAATAACGCGCGCATGAGAACAGGAACTATTCCTCACCTCCTGCAAGGGGCTGAGCACCTCCAGCAGCACACCGCCGGCTCCCGAGCCGTGTAACTGGTCTGCTATTTCCTTTGTCGAAGAAAAAAACTTTTCAAGGGAGCCTGGCACTGCTTGGCTTAGGAAAACTCCCTGACAAAGGCCCGTCCGGTTTCCACGGGGGGGGATATTTAAATCACGATGTAGGCTTAAAAATAATAAATAAAAATAAAATAAACGAACGATTTTTTGTTCCAGGCAGAATGAAACCCCAAACTTTTCCCGCTGCCGCAGGGGGCCGTCCCG